GAACCAGGGTCCGAGAAAACAAGACCACGACCCAGAGGACGGTAAAACAAGAAAACAAGACAACGAATCAGGGTCAGAGAAAACGAGACCACGACCCAGGGGCCGACAAAACGAGAAAACGAACCAGGGTCCGAGAAAACGAGACCACGACCCAGGAGCCGAGAAAACGAGAAAACGAGGGAACGAAGCAGGGTCCGAGAAAACGAGACCACGACCCAGGGGCAGAGAAAACGAGAAAACAAGACAACGAACCAAGGGCCGAGAAAACGAGACAAAAACCCAGGGGCCGACAAAACGAGAAAACGAACCAGGGCCCGAGAAACAGAGACCACGACCCAGGGGCCGAGACAACGAGAAAACGAGAAAACGAACCGAGGCCCGAGAAAACGAGACCACGACCCAGGGGCCGAGAAAACGAGAAAACGAGAAAACAAACCAAGGTCAGAAAAAGCAAAACCACAATCCAGGGGCCGAGAAACGGAGAACACGAGAAACCGAACCAGGGCCCGAGAAAACGGGACCACGAACCAGGGGCCTAGAAAACAAAAAACGAACCAGGGTCAGAGAAAACGAGACCACGACCCAGGGGCCGAGAACACGAGAAAACGAGAAAACTAACCAGGGTCCGAAGCAAAATTACGCCACGACCCAGGGGCCGAGAAAACAAGAAAAAGAGATCACGAACCAGGGCCAGAAAAAAAAAACAACACAAACAAACAAAAGCCGAGAAAACAAGAAAACGAAACAACGAACCAGGGTGCGAGAAAACGAGACCACGACCCAGGGCCGAGAACACGAGAAAACGAGAAAACGAACCAAAGACCGAGCAAACGAGACCACGACCCAAGGGCACAGAAAACGCGAAAACGAACCAAGGTCCGAGAAAACACGACCACGCCCCAGGGGCCGAGAAAACGAGACAACGATAAAAGAAATCAAGGCCCGAGAAAACGAAACTACGAACCAGGGGCCGAGAAAACAAGAAAACGAAACAAGAACCGGAACAGAGAAAACAAGACCACGACCACGGGGCCGAGGAAATGAGAAAACGCGAAAACGACCCACGACCAAGGGGCCGAGAAAACGAGAAAACGAACCAGGGTCCGAGGAAACCACGACCCCAGGGCCGAGATCACCAGAAAACGCTTCGTTCGAGAAAACGAATGAGCAGAGAAAACGAGGAAACGAAACAACGAAGCAGGGTCAGAGAAAACGAAACCACCACCAGGGGGCCGAGACAACGAGAAAACGAGAATACTAACCAGCGTCCGAGAAAACAAAACCACGACCCAGGGGCCGAGAAAACAAGAAAACGAGATCACGAAGCAGGGCCCGAGAAAACTGGACCACGACCCAGGGGCCGAGGCAACGAGAAAACGAGAACACGAACCAGGGTCAGAGAAAACGAGACCGCGACCCAGGAGCCGAAAACACAAAGAAACAGGAAAACGAACCAGGGGCCGAGAAATTGAGAAAACGATATAAGGAATCAGGGCCCGAGAAAACGAGACTACGAACCAAGGGCCGAGAAAACAAGAAAACTAACCAGGGGTCGACGTTATTCTCCAATGCGTTCTCTAGCGCTGCGGTGCGCACCTGTCGTCAGGGATTCCGCCATTTTGCCAGAGCACCGGAAGGGAGGGGGGGGAGGTAGTTTCGGAAGCCCCCCTCCCTTTTGCAAAGGAGGGGGGGGAGTAGCTTGAAGCCGCACCCCCCTGTGTCCAGACCAAAAAAGAAAGGGGGGGGGTAGCTTCCGAAGCCCCCCCCTCTTTGAAACCTTTGAGAGGGAAGCCCGGGGTCACCTTCTGCTCCAGAAACGGGAGGGAGGGGGGGATCGCTTCGAACCCTCCCCCTTTAGCCAGGGCCCCCCTAGCTTAGAAACCCTTGCAGAAGAGGGGGGGGGGTAGCTTTGGAAGCCCCCCCCCCTTTGGAACGGAGGGGGGGGGAGGTAGCTTGAAGCTGGGGCCCCCCTTTCCGTATTCCCGGCGCTGGAGGCGCGCTCTTTCGAAGGATGCACCCCCTTATGGTGTCGAGAATATGCCACGCCTGCTATGCCTTGGACGACCGTGGCGGATACCGGCCGCGATCAGAAGCCTCCCCCTGCGCACCCCATTAAGTTGTTAAGAATATGCCACGCCTGCTATGCCCTGGACGACCGTGACGGATAGTGGCCGCGCTGAGGGACCACCCCCTGCGCACCCCCTATGGTGTGGAGAATATGCCACGCCCGCTCTGCCCTGGACGACCGTGACGGATAGCGGCCGCGCTGAGAAGCCACCCCCTGCGCACCCCCTTATGGGGAGGAGAATACGCCACGCCTGCTATGCCCTGGACGACCGTGACGGATAGCGGCCGCGCTGGGGGACCAACCCCCTTATGGTGTCGAGAATACGCCACGCCTGCTATGCCCTGGACGACCGTGACGGTGGCGGCCGCGCTGAGGGACCACCCCGTGCGCACCCCCTATGGTGTTGAGAATATGCCACGCCTGCTCTGCCCTGGACGACCGTGACGGTCGCGGCCGCGCTGAGGGACCACCCCCTGCGCACCCCCTATGGTGTGGAGAATATGCCACGCCTGCTCTGCCCTGGACGACCGTGATGGATAGCGGCCGCGCTGAAGGACCACCCCCTGCGCACCCTCTTATGGTGTGGAGAATATGCCACGCCTGCTCTGCCCTGGACGACCGTGACGGATAGCGGCCGCGCTGAGGGACCACCCCCTACGCACCCCCTATAGTGTCGAAGATATGCCACGCCTGCCACGCCTTGCGAATCTTGCACGCATGTGCATGATGCGTGTGCGGCTGCGAGGAAGGAAGAGGATGAGGAGGAGGAAGAGAAGTAGGAGGAGGAGGAGGAAGAGGAGGAGGAGGAGGAGGGTCGCGGGTGCGACGCGGCAGGGAAGAAAACCAGAACCCCACTAAGCATGTGGGGAAGAAAACCATAACCCCACGAAACATGCGGGGGGGAGGAAACCAGGGAAGAAGGAAGAGCAGGGGAGGAGGGAGATGAGAGAGGGAGGAGGCGCGAGAGCGACGCTGCAGGGAAGAAAACCATAACCCCACTAAGCATGTGGGGAAATATCTCAGCCAGGCTTTGGACCGACGTTTGGCCACATAGGCTCTTGCAACAGGTAGGGGGCGGCAGTGGTTCGCCGCAAGCGTCTTGGATACGTTCCTCATACTGGTTCCTACGTTCCCCTCCACCGCTGCGCTGCCATCCCACCCGTCCATCTCGCTCCCCTCCATGATCTTCATCCTGCGCCGACGACCTGCAGGACATCCTTTATTCAGTGCCCCAGGGACATGCGGTTATGCCACCAAATTGATAACAACAACACATGCTGCTTAAACCGTCGTGGGGCTTTCTTGTGAACTTGCCAAACCGTGGGAGAGCACATGAGGTGGCCATGTGACCCCAGAAGAACCCTAAACATAGTTAGGGGCCCACGGTGGGCCAAGACAGAGGACACCGAGGAGAACAAGGGAGTGGGAGGTCAGTCTGGTGCGGGGGCACATAATGAAAGGGGCGGCCCACGAGCCGACCCTCGGCCCTGTGAAGAAGAACCTCGCACCAAAAGCGAGCCTCCTTCTCCTCCTCCTCCTCCTCCTCCTCCTCCTCCTCATCTCCTCGTATATTTTTCTCCTCCTCCTCCTCCTCCTCCTCCTCCTCCTCCTCCTCCCTCCTCTCCTCCTCCTCCCCCTCCTTCCTCCTCCTACTCCTCTCCCCCTCCTTCCTCCTCCTCCTCCTCCTCCTCCTCCTCCTCGTCCTCCTCCTCCTCCTCCTCCTCCTCCTCCCCCTCTTCCCTCCTTTTCCCTCCCCCTGCTCTCCCGTCCTTCCTTCCTCCTTCCCCCTTCTCCCCCCGTCCTCCAGGAGAAGGCCCCCGCGGGTCCGCCGACCACGGGCCCTTCCGTGGCCGACCGCAGGCCGCTCTGTGGCCGCTGGGAGCGCCGAAAGAGCCGGGAAAGCCCGGGGGACGGCACCGTGAGCGAGCCGGCACGCTTGGAAAGCTTCCGCTGGCACCGCGGAGTACCACGGAAGCGAGCCGGCAGGCTCACGAGGCTCACGGGAGGGGCACAGGAGTGACAGCATCTCAAGGCGCAGGCCGTGATGGAGGACCTGTACTGAAGCAGACAATACGGGCATCCCATACGACTAAGGGACAACAATGACAAAACCATGTGCGCTAGAAGCGAGCCGGCACGCTTGGAATCTTCCCGGCAACAACGCTGGCAGCAGAAACGACAAGGCACGCTCGTAGCGAGCTTCTGACCGAGTTCACTTTCAGCCCCACCTGCTGCAAGGAGCGAGCCAGGAAGCTCGGAATGAACTTCATGGCGTTCAGTTATTAACATCTGAAGGTCACCAGAGGCGAACCGCCACGCTCGAAGTTGAGTTTCCAGTTGACAACGCTGGCAACATGATGTGCGACGGGAACAAGCTAGCACGCTTGGAGTGAGCTTCTCAGCGAGAACGCTGGCAACGCGAAGTGAACCTGAAGAGAGCTGGAAATAATTTGACCACAGAATTCGCTTTCAACCTCATCTGCTGCTTGGAGCGACCGGGCACGTTCGGAATGAGTTTGCCACCCAAGAATATTCAGCAAACGCTGGAAAGTAGAGGCTCACAAGGAGCGAGCTGGCAACGCTCGGAGTGAGCTTCCAGCCGAAGAGGCTGGCGACGCGACGTGAACAGGGAGCGAGCCAGCACACATGGAGTGAGCTTCCCAGCCAGAACGGTGACAATGCGAAGAACACTGGAAGCGAGCCGGCATGCTCGCGAGGCTCACAGGAGGGGCACAGCAGGAGCGATATCGTTTCGGGGCTCCTGTCTTGACGGAATTACTGATACAAGCGACAAGAACTCTCTAGGCGAGCTTAATCTGGGGAAAAGAGAAGGGCAAAGACAAGGAAGTAAAGGAAGGAGGCAGGCACCACTCGTTTCTCATATCTTTGCTAACCTCCCTGCTAACTCTTGCACTTCTCCCTGCTCCCTCTTTCCTTCTTGATGTCGAAATCGGCCGTCCCTAACAACTCCACGACTTTTGGAATAAGGTCGTTGTTGATTACCTGCGTCCCGGAGGCCCTTCGGCTCTCACCCTGGCTTCTCTCTACTTCTGCTCTGGCCCTGTCTGCTTGAGTACACGCGCCTAACTCTCTCGTTGGGCCCATGGTTGCCAAACGCAATTGCTGTATCTCAGATTTGGCGGTGCGGCTTCAATCTGCTCCGCATCTGGATCAGAAGTTATTCGAACATGTGGCAACACACCCACACTGATCATGTCGGGTGGGTGGCGACAAAGCGGATGCTCGAATCTCAATGCACTGGTCTTTCATCTTACGTCTTAACCGGCAAACTAGTTGCGTCGCAGATGTGCGATCGATGGACCAGAAATATACCGCGCTACCCCCATGCGAAGCAGAGAAAGAGACCGCTGGGACACACGCAGGACGAGTGCGATGGGCAGCCGCATGCGGGCAGCGGCCGCCATCGCAGCAGGTGGGTGGGCGTACAGTACTACCAGGATGCAAGCCCAGCCCGGCGGCATTGAATGCATTACGACGTCGATGCAACGCCAGGCTGCAAAACAACACTTGTGGAGGCGGGGGGAGCGGAAGGCAAGGCGGGCGTCCCACGAGCGGGATCGCCAATGCGTGGCCAATGAATTCGGCCGCGAGGGCCACGGGTGCTCGCTGCAGGCTTAGATGGGGGGAGGGGAGCAACCCGGAAAGAAGGGGAAGGCCGCGGAGAGAAATATGCCGTCATGTCGATCTAGCTGGTGTATCAATTTCAGGGCATGCTTCCGCAAACAATACACATGGGGAGTTATGCCAATGACCCATGAAAGTATAGCCATAGCAATGACGGGTAGCCGCAAGCCAAATAAGCGCTGGATAATCAGACCGACAAGCATGTGGCTCAACCGCGTTACGCTTCCAATAGGGAGGCGGAAATACACGGAGGGAAGAGAGAAACCGGGCGACCAGGGTCACACGGCGAAGTGTATGGTGCAGGCTAGGCTCAGACGATGCGAAAGCGGGTAGGCGGAATGCCCGCAGGTGGGAGAGTGGCGAAACCCAGCAAGTGAGTCAGCGCAAAGCGTGGCGGAGCGGTTAGAATTCATGGGCACTGGTGGAATCGCTGGATGCGGTTCGCAGAGAAACGTAGGCCGTGGTGAAATCAAGTATCTGGCGCCAGGTGGGACAGGCGAGGCGTGAGAGGGAGGCCAAAATTGCCCAGAGGTTGGCTTGGTACTCATGCCTCTATTTCAGCGCTCCCATACCCATATTTGGGTGCGCCCATGCCACAATTTCTGAGGCCTTCATTTCGGAGCACCCTGGCACCGTTTCGATATCCCCATACCATCATTTCGGCGCCGCCAGGCCCTCATTTCGGTGTCCGCGCCCTAACTTCTGGGCCCCAAGGCCTCCACTTCGGCATCCTGGGACACCATGCCCACCCAGTGCAACGACCTCAACCCAGCCCACGGCTGCTGCGTCAAGTCAGCGGGGCCCGAGCAGTTAACAGGAGCCATTGTTCGACGATGTCAAAGGTCACTGGCGGTGAGGTGGTTCGCGGGAGGCGCAACAGGCTGATGTCAACATACATGGAAAGACATGCCATGCGTCGGAGATGATGTAATCGCCGAGGGCGCGCTAGAAAATTAGCGAGCAGCGAACCGAGGAGGGGAGGACCACAACGTCTTGTTCATCATTTCAGGAGGCGAACCGCGCATTGCTTCTGCATTGATTATGGCATGACCTTATCACCAAGTTGTGTCTGCGCGCCGACGCGATGCGTCCAACGTGTCCAAAGAGCGCGAGTCGCTAACGTCGATTTTACCCCCCGCAAAAGCATCCACGTGTCTCGGTACTGGCTCTCATGCCAGGCCGCCTGGCCTGTTAGCGCGCGCTGGCCGTTCGTATCACGAGCCGTCTGCAAGCATTGCAGGGAGGAGTGAGAAGATCGGAGAGGAACCAGGAGCGAGCAGAGGAGACTGGAAACTGTGCAGGACGAAAGTCTGCAGCAATGCGCTCGCGCGTGCGCAGACCAGTCCAGGTGGACGGTACTCGTACAGAAGGCCCTCACGAGCAGAGGCGTCCATCACCAGTGAAGAGAGAAGGACAAGCGAGGGGCGGAGGGAAAGAGATAGCGAAGGATGGGGAAGCAGGTGATAAAAGAAAACATGTAACATGCAACAGAAACCCACTGCGGAAGCAGAGGAATCACCTGAGACCCGCGTTCAGCTCGAGAGGCCAAGGCGTATGTTACACGAGTTCTGGCTTGCTGTGCCCCTCCGTCGTCGGCTGTAAAAAAACGATCGGCCGACAAGCAACAGCGGCCAGTGGGGCAGAGTGTCCGGCAGGCAAGCCTGGCGAATAACTGGCGCCACGTGCTGCGCCTCTGTCAGGCGGCAGCTGGGCGAGGCCCAACGCAGGCTGGCCTCACCAGCCCTGGGAATGGAACATCTGGAATCTACGGGAGAAGCTAACGGTTGAGAGTGCCTGCGTGAAACATCGCGGACAGAAAACCCATCATAAGAAAACCGAGCAATGGCCCTGCGCCTTCGCCAATAGCTCCACGGCCACAATTTTCAACTTTACAAATTGCCTTTGCACCATCTGCGGGGGGGGGCGAGGAAGAGAAGAGAGACAGGGGGAAAGGGGAGACATGATGAGAGGACGGGGGGGATTGCTTGCTGCCGCTTGAGGTAGCTCGTAAAGATTTGAAACGCCAACACACAATAACAACAACATCACTTACGAATTGTGGATGGCGTGCAGACGCTCCGCTTCAACCCAACACTCCAAGCATGATGTACGTGAAACCAGGAGTGGGCTGGGGCAGGGGCGGGGCACGTAATGTAGTAGTAGTAATAGTAGTAGTAGTGGTAGTAGTAATAATAGTTGTAGTAATGATCGTGGTAGCGGTCGTCGTAGAAGTGGTAGTCCTCGCAGTAGCACTCGTAGTAGTAGTAGTAGTAGTAGTAGTAGTGGTAGTAGTCGTAGTCGTAGTCGTAGTCGTAGTTGTTGTTGCCATACGAATAATGAAAATATCCCTCGTAGTGGCAATCGTAGAATCGTAGTAGCAGCAGCAGCAGCAGCAGCAATAGTAGCAGTAGTAGAAATTAAAATAACCGTAGTCGCAATAGTAATAGTAGTAGTAGTAGTTGTAGTAGTAGTAGTAGTAGTAGTAGTCGTCGTAGTAGTAGTAGTCGTAATAGTAGTAGTAGTAATAGTCGTCGTAAGATGAATCCTCGTAGTCGTAATGTTCGTGGTAGTAGTAGTAGTCGTAGTAGTAGTAGTAGTAGTAGTAGTAGTAGTAGTAGTAGTAGTAGTACTAGTAATACGAATCGTAGTAGTAAATATGGTAGTAATCGTCGTGGTAGTAGTAATGCTAGTAGTCGTAATCGACGTAGTCGTAGTTGTAGCCGTGATAGTAGTAGTCGTAGTAGTAGTAGTAGTAGTAGTAGTAGTAGTAGTAGTAGTAGTAGTAGTAGTAGTAGTAGTAGTAGTAGTAGTAGTAGTAGTAACAGTAGTAGTAATAGTAGTAGTAGTAATAGTAGTCGTAATAGTCGTAGAAGAAATGGTGGTCGTAATAACCGTAAACAGGATATTCGTAAGAACAGTTGTACTTGTAATTAAGTTGTAGTCGTAGGAATCGTAGCATGAATAGGAGTGTTCGTAATATCAACAGAATCGGAACTGGTAGTACGAATGGTCAGAACAAGAGATAATAGCAGTAGCGATAGCAATTTTCGTCGTGATAGTAGCGGCCGCCACCGTCTTCGTAGTCGTAGTCGTAGTCGTAATAATCGTAAAAGTAGTAGTAGTAGTAGTAGTAGTAGTAGTAGTAGTAGTAGTAGTAGTAGTAGTAGTAGTAGTAGTAGTAGTAATAGTAGTGGTAGTAGTAGTAGTAGTAGTGGTAATATTAGTAGTAGTAGTTGTCGTCGTAGTAGTGGAAGTAACAGTAGTACTGGTAGTAGCAGTCGCAGAAAGAATAATAGTAGCAGTAGAATTTGAATTCATCAGGATAGTACTCGTAGTAATTATGGTGGTCGTAGTAGTAGTAGTAGTAGTAGTAGTAGTAATAGTAGTAGTAGTAGTAGTAGTAGTAATAATAGCAGGAGTAGTAGTAGGAGTAGTAGTAGTAGTAGTAGCAGCAATAAGACCAATAGAAGAAATAGTCTTCCTAGTGGCAGTAATCCTAGTACTAATCGCAGTCGTAGTCGTAAGCGTAATAGTAGTAGTAGTAGTAGTAGTAGTAGTAGCAGTAGTAGTAGTAGTAGTAGTAGTAGTAGTAGTAGTAGTAGTAGTAGTAGTGTTAGTAGTAGCAGTAGTAGTATTCAGAGTAGTGGTAATACTGGAGATTGCAGTAGGGGGTTCGTAGTAGTAGTAGTAGTCGTAGTCGTAGTAGTAGTAGTAGTAAGTAGTAGTAGTAGTACTAGTAAGAACACATGTAGTAGCAGTAGTAGTAGTAGTAGTAGTAGCAGTGGTACTAGCAATAAACATAGGAGTCGAAGCCAGGGAAGTAGGAGCAGCAACAAGATCAGTAACTGCAGCAATGGTAGCAACGGCAGCATCAGCATCATCAGCAGCAACAGCAATAATCGAAGTAGCAATGGTAGTCGTGAGTAGCGTTAGTAGTGGTAGTAGGAGAATCAATAGCAGTAGTGGTCGTAGTAGTAATAGTGGAGGCAGTCGTAGAAGTAATAAAATTAGTAATAAAAATAACCGTAGGAGTCGTAGTCGTAGCCGCCGTAGTGGCATTGGTAGCTGGAGCGGTAATGCTGGCAATCGTGATCGTAGTAGTAATAGGAGTAGTACTAGTAGTACTCGCAGTAGATATCACAATGTTGGTGGTAGTAGCGGTATGAGTAATACGAGTCGTACTAAGCGTAGTAGTACTAGTCGTGGCACTAGTCGTAGTAGTAGCAGTAGCAGTGGTAGCAAAAGTAGTTGAAGTAGTAGCACGAGTAGTCGCAACAATTGCATTAGTGGTGGTAGTAGTGGTACTAATAACAGTAGTCGTAGTAGTAAGGACAATACTGAATGCACGAGTAGAGAGA